CTTTGAATGACCATGGGTCCAGCAAGAAAGATCAGAGGTCAGAAACCAGACGTGTAGTCACATGTCACGGGGTATCAGGCCTTTTAATCATTTATATCTTAATCTGTTGCATATAGCATCAGTGTTGCCCTGCAATTCAGATATGTTTTAATTCCTGCCATGCAATTTAAGATTAATTCTTTCAAATACATTTTGTTTCAATGTTGTATTATTCTTTAGGTTCACAAGAGAAGAAGCGCACAAGAGAAGAACACTGGATCTGCAGCAAACCTGCTGAGAGCTGTCAGTGTGTCACTGCCTGAGTCCAGCCTTTGAATAACCACAGGACCAGCAAAAAAAATCAGAGGTCATCAACCAGACATGTAGTGACATGTCATAGGAGTATCAGGCGTTTTGTTCATTCACATGATGTTTTATATGTGCATGCGTTTTATTTTATTGTGTTTTATATTGTGCTCACTCTTATGTTTTGTTTTTAGGCACTTTGTGCCATCTGTAAGTCACCCCGAGTCCCTTCAGAGAGATGGTTATGGGCTATAACAATAAAGTTGTTGTTATTGTTGGCATTATTATTATTATTGTCGAAGGCTTTCATAGCTGGAATCACTAGGTTCTTGTGGGTTTTTTTCGGGCTATATGGCCATGTTCTAGAGGCATTTTCTCCTGAGCAGAGAGGAAACAACCAGGCACATCTTAACACCTCTCAACAAAAGATTCCTCCAGGCTCAGCCAGGCCTTCAATGCTAATGAAGGTGGTCAGTTGAAACATTCACACCCAGCTCCAGCAGAGAAGAGCTCTTTGCCCCACCCCAGTCATTCCACAGATATATAAACCCATTTTCCTAATTCCAACAGACCTCACTACCTCTGAGGATGTTTGCCATAGATGTAGGAGAAGCGTCAGGAGAAAATGCCTCTAGAACATGGCCACATAGCCCGAAAAAACCCACAAGAACCTATTATTATTATTATTATTATTATTATTATTATTACCTCTTCATCAGTTGTAGATAGTGTCAGTATTACCTTGCCATTCACATGTGTGTTTTTGCCATGTAAATTCTGCCATGCCACATAGTTTCTGCCATGTAAATTAAGATCAATCCTTTCAAATACAATTTGTTTCAGTGTTGTATTGTTGTTTATTTTTATAAGAGAAGACGTGAGCAAAAGAAGAACACTGGATCTGCAGCAAAACAGCTGAGAACTATTGTGCCATTGCACGAGTCCAGCCTAGGAGTGAGCCATGCATAGGTCCAGCCATTGAGCTGTTCAGAATGGACTGGAGTCCCAACTTGCTCTTTATATTTTCCTTCCTTTTATATACGGGTAGTGTTGTAGGCTGGCAAGAACCAGAGAATTCTGAGGATGAGGGGTTTCAAAATGAAGTGAATGTATTCAGGGAGAATCTAAGAAGACAGGGAGGATTAGGAGGTCACTAGGGAGTGTAGATTAGATCTCCAAAAGCAGGGTGTGAAAAGTAGATAGACCAGGTCTTCGCAGTGCCTCCAAGATAAGGCCTTGAAATCCAGACATCTTAGACATGAATTCATGGGAGCCTGGACAAGCTTAAATTAGATGTTTGGTTCCAAGCATTTCAGAGGAGACAACATTGCTAAAGGGGAAACAGTCTCCTGTTCATGTTACCAACTTTTCAAGTCCATGGTTCTTGTAATGTCAAGATTCTTGATTCATGTTCCTGCTTGTGCTTATGTACCTTCAAAGAGTTTGGCCTGGAAAAGTTTCCTGTATTCATGTTTCTGGAATTACCTTGAATTATTTCTATGTTTTTGGATTTCTGGCTTCTGCACTGTTTCCTTGGCTTTCTTGAAAGGCTTTTTACTGAACTCTGGCATATTTTGTATATTGCATGTTATATACTGATTGCTCCTTTTTGATATAACTCCCTCCCCCTTATTATTTTTTTATCCAATAAACATTTTATTGTTGAACTCCTGGCCTCTGGTCTGGTGCTGGGCGAACAGGTGCCTCAGGGCTAGGGTGCAACAGGAAGCCAGTTAACAAGCATCACCTACTGAGACTCGCTTTTCAACAAAAGCAATAAAGAGACAGGAGCCCTGTCCCTTCTTTCATCCAGCAATTGTAATAAAAATATAAAGTTCTTACTGGTTAGAGACTGAAAGCAGTGAAGAATTTTAACCACAACTGTTAAAGTCTGTGTTCCTCTGGACTTTTACCAAACTGATCAGTAACCTGCTGTTATCATCCAATAAGACTCTCCCCACAGGGACCCCATGTCATATTTACAATCCCCCCAAGAAGGCCCAGAACATGTTTTGCCCTGCCCTATTTGTACCCAATCTGCACCAAGAGAACTTTGTGTTTTGAAGGGATTGGGGGTGTGGGGAAGGTATAAAAAGAAGGGCTAAAACGCAATGGAGAGGGAGATGGAGAGTGGTGGTGGTGGTGGTGGTGGTGGGAAGGGGTCTACATTGTTATATTGTAGCAAAATCATAAATCATAATAATAATTGATTTTAATGCATAATGTTTTCCTAACTATTATAGTTTAATGTATATGCTTATTGGTTTTTTGTTTGTTCATATGGCATTGAATTGTTGCCAATTTGAAAGCCACTCTTGAGTCCCCTTCAGGGTGAGAAGGACAGGATATAAATATAGTAACTAACTAAATAAAGAAGTATTGAAATGTTTTTAGAAATAAAGAATAACATACAAGGAACTTTTGACAAAGGACCCACTAGTTCTGAAAACACACGAAGAATTAAAACAGAATTTCACAAATATTTCATGGCTTCACTATTTACAAATGAGAGAATATTATAATCAGGATAAAAAATTGATTTAATCAGAAGGAGGAATTTTGGGATAAAATTCTAAAAACTGAAAAAATACCATTACAAAAATCTATGATAAACTGTTAGAATGGTCAACAGAAGGGGAAGCAATAAAAATTGTATGATTAAATGGGCAGAAAATTTAAGAAGACCAACATCGCTGGCAGATTGGAAACTTATTTGGAATAAAAAATTAAATTACACATATGCAGCAGACTTAAAGGAAAACTGGTTGAAAATGTTTCACTGGTGATACATAACACCAAAAAATGAGTCTAATGTATAAAAACACACCAAAGGACTGTTGGAAATTTAAAAACCAAGATGGCAGCTTTTCCACATGTGGTGGACTTTTAAAGAATCTAAAAATATTGGAAACTTATTCATGAAGTATGTCAACAGATTCTTAAGAAAAACATTCTTAATGAAGCCAGAATATTACTTATTATGAATAATAGATTCGAATTTAATATTACATTCTAATGAAGACATTTTATTTACAGATTTGACGACAGCTGCCAGGATTATATATACAAAACATTGGAAACAGATGGAAATACCAGACATAGATGAATGGACAAATAAAATTAGAGTGTCTAATTAGAGATTAGAGACATGGACAAATCAACTTTTTTATTAAAGAAATACTCAGGAAACCCGATCAGACAGACAAATTGGTAATGGATAGAGGAATACAGAAGAATGAAAAAACAAAAGAAGCATTTAAAGTAAACTGCCTCCCCCTCACAAACGGATATACTAGAAAAATTGACTTAATCATATGTTAAAGTCAAGAGCTTGGTTTTCCCACTTGTAATATAGAAGAATTTTGATTGAACAAGGTTTAAAACCTCAAAGGATTAGATGGAAGTCACCACGGTTTTTTTGCTGTTGATATTTTTGTGTATGTTTTTTATTCTCTTCTCTTTTTTTCCTTTCCATTTCATATCTTATTTTTCTTTTTCTACTTTCGCTATACAACATTGTTCCCCCACTTTAAATGTATAAGCAAAAGTACCCCTTTTTTCACCTTCCCTTTTTTACCCCCAAAAATACATATTTAAAAAAAGAAATAAAAATAGCATAATTTTAAATGTCACTTTCTTGCAAGCACAAAATTATTAATTATTTGTACTTGAAGGATCATCTGAGTAAGCAAAACAGATGTGTTCTCAGACATTATGAACAGAAAATTTGATACCAGAGGCAGAAATAATATGGAAAAAATAGGGTTAGGTTCCTGCACCACAGAAAAGAATAGTTCAATATGTCTCAGCAAATGTTTTATTCAAAACTAATAACATCTACATGTGAAATTAAAGAAAGAGCTCTGGTAATCCCAGTACAATTAAATAAAAATATTTTGAACTTTCCAGAGACCAGAGATTTTTTTTCCTTTCACTACCTCCACGATTTGTATAATTTCTGTTTCTCATCGAACTTTTAAAAATAAAATGGGGATAGCTGGTACAGTAAATTTCTTTCTGTTCATGCATGTTGAATGCGATTTTCCTGCTGTTTGGCAGGGAGTTGGACTGGATGGCCCATGAGGTCTCTTCCAACTCTATGATTCTATGATTCTAATATGGGATCCTGGAAGCAGCTGTTGTGTACCTTCCTTGTTGTAGGGAGGAACACAGAGCTACAGTAGCATTATCTGGAGTAGAACCCCATTATAGCTCTGGTTTTATTCCAAGGTTTATAGCATATTCCGGTACTACATGGCTGTTTCTTAAGCCCTTTCTCACTATGTGCTGATGCTGTGCAGAAACATCCACCTAGACAAAAGACAAGAAAAACTGCAACGGAGAGGTGTAAACTGTCAAAATACTATTTAAAGGAGAACATCATTCTCAGAGCCCTGTTAAACTATGTGTGGCACTTCCAGTCTCTAATGCTTTAATCATCTCTTTCATAAGAATACCTATCCATAGACCCACATTCGAGTTCCTAAATATGTAAGGTTTGTAGACAGGCTATATAGGTGATGTCTACATAATTTTCAAATGAAGACTCTTTTCTCTGTAGATATTGCTTTAACAATACAGAAAGCTAGATAATTGTGCCTTCATGAATCACAAAGTGTACAAGCTGACCTGCAATCATGCTGATCTTTGACATCTTCCAGAAAATAAAACAACCCCCTTCAGCTTAGTATCTTGAAACTGAGTTATTTCATTGAGATAGAGAACCATTGCACTCTTATTGTGTATAATACCTCTGTTTCCATATTTCTATATTTGTGAGCATAGCAAATAACAAAAGGGCATATTATTCTTTTGTGCACCAACATGCAATGTCATATAACGATGGGGTCCTTTTGGCAAATCCACCGGAATACAGTGTCACAGCTTTCAGATAGGATTTTCTTGTTTTTTATTGCTCCACAGCACTTGTCTTCCTGAGGTTTTTTTTCTTGGAACCTAGAGAAGAAAGAAAGGAAGGAGCTCTGAGTCCTCAAGGTTTGGCATCTTTTCTTAGTTCCCATCAGAAGTAATCTCTGGCTCATTTCAAGCTCTGCAGGAATTCCTATTTTGAGTTCCCAGTACTTCGATTTTCTATCACCTGGTCTATTCCAGCAAAGTCATGCAAAACCAAATGCTTCATTTGCTCTAATCTCAGGATTTTTGAAAAGCAAAAGTACTATGAAAAAATAAACTCACACAGCATGGTTGACCTGGGATCCTGTAACCCATTTCCATTTCTTCATTGGTAATGACCAGGAAAATCCAATCCAGTAGATTTCATGCGTACTCGGTATATCTTTTGTTACAAACTCCTATATCAAAAAACAGGAAGAACTGTGAGTGACCACAAACTACTATTATTTAACAATTAATATTGAATCCACTGTTTTGTTCAGAAAAGTTCACCAGCTTTAGTTGTGAGAGTTGCCGGGCATTATTGACAGATCTTTTCTGAGCAAAAGCACCACCTGCTCCTTTAATTCAAGAAATAATAACTAGTATTAGAAAGGAATGCTTGGACTTCTCACTACAGAATTGCAATACAAATTAGCCATGAATTTTTAGTACATTTCTTTTAAGAAAAACATCAAGCAAGTGTCTGAATCCATACCAAATGAAGTATCAGTCAGCCATCAGATAGATCTAGAGGGAGATTAGATAAGTACCTACTAGGGTATATGAATAAGTCCTATTGCCCTTATGCCATGGGCTTCCCATGGGTATTTGCTTGGCCACTGAGTGAAATAGGGGTGGAAGTAGACAGAGCTTTGATCTGATTCAGCATGTTTTATGGTATATGCTGATTATTTGAGCCTCGTTGCCATTGCACCATAAATATCAACTTTGCGAGAGGACATTACACCTCTGCAGAAAAAGTAGCTTAAGATGTGTCGTGGCACAGAATGTATCATTATTTTGTGTAACCTGATTTTTTATTCTGATCTCTTCCTCCATTGAATAGCTTTTCTCAACCTGATTTAAAAAATCCTCAAACTGCATGGAGATAAATAAGTGGCCTATTTACATTGATTATAATTAGGAACAAGTGAAATTAATGTTTATATCCTAAGTAGCAGAACCAAAGAAGACAGACATTCTTTACAAAATTTTAGTTAAATCAAAAAGACTCATTGGGCTATGATTATATGTGTTGATCTTACAGATTGGTCATCACTGGTTATGTTTCCCTGGTGCAGTGGAAACAGGATTGAGTTCTACTTTCCTGCTGTTAATATAAGCCTGTAATTTGCATTGAACTAAGCTCATTTTATTAAGAAAATCTTATTTTAGATACGTTTGTATATAGATACATAGAAAGAGTCTAGTTTTGCTTCCTTTACCAAATCCTCCATGTCTCGGATTACCAGCAGTTGAGCGTTCCTTGCAGAACAATCATCTTGGCTGTCGTTCCAACTTTTAAGAGTGTTCTTTGATTGGAACAGGTAGCACTTGTCCTTGTGGAGATGCCAATGCAGAGGGCAAATTTGGCAAGCTGAATTCACTGGAGAGGGAAGGAGGCCATTATTGTTCTCATTAACCCTTTTGAAACTTCAGAATTTCGTGTTTTACTGCCCGTCACAACTTCAAATTGCAGGTCGTATTTGGATAGTGAAGCACAATTCACCTCTAAAATTAGTTTTTCTGTACAGAAAGCATTGGATGATATCTTGTGTTTCAGTCTGAACAACATGGTATTCCTATGGTTTTGTATATTTAAATAATTTGCTTACTCCTCAAACCTGCTTAGTATGCTTCTTGGACTTTGATTTCCTGGAACATATCCTAATTCCCAGTTCTTCTCAGAATGACATTTACAGCTCTAGACCTGACTACACCATTAAAAACACAGTTGCAATTCAAATTACATTCAGCACCAGAGCTGTCCCGATTTCACCCTGTTGGTTCCGCTCCTCCCTATAATATACTGCACCAAAATTATATTGTTGTCCACATCCTCAATTTTTAGTGGTTTACTCATGAGTAAATGCCCCTCTTACCTATCCCAGCTTCTCAAATGCTCTCCTCTCCTCTAGCTTCCCAGCTGAATAGTCTGTAGGTTTGCTGTGGAGATGCTGCTACCACTACTACTAAAGAATATAGTTGCTGCCACATTCTTGCTGCATGGCCATTCCTTCATGTGGCCAGTAACAGCAGTGCATTAGACTGAAGCTAGCCAAGGTTAGGATGGAAAAAGCGGTCTTCCCTTGATACATGAGTAAACCATGTTCTGAGCTGAGATTGTGGTATTCAGAAAAATTAAAGGTATCTACAGTGTTAGAAAACATAAATCCCAGGAAGTAGCAGTGACATGTAAACAAACATGGTTATCATTACCACCTGGTACACATAGCACAACAACAACAACAATAACAACAACAACAACAAATTTATTTTTATATCCCGCCACCATCTCCCCTAGGGGACTCATGGCGACTTACAAGGGACAAACCCAAAAATTACAGATAAAAACAAACACAATAAAAATCAATAAAAATATAAAACAAACACAATCAAAACAACATCATAAAGCAGTATGGCTGAGATAAAGGGAACATTGCTGAGTTCAGGCACAAAAGTAGATTAATTCCTGACAGGAGCACAGCAACACAACACGGGGACAGCTTGCATACCACCATTCCTGATATTAAAATGTCCTTCCTTAACTATACAGGGATATTTCAGAAAGAGAGGGAAATAAAATGCATAGGTCAGCAAGTTGTCAGTGCATGCAGGGTGCATTATCAATCGCAGTGCAAAAGTACTATGAACAAACAATTATGAGCTAGGTTGTCTGTTTAATAACTTTTTCCTACTATGTAGACTGGTTTAACATCTTTGTCCTGTCTAAAGAAAGAATGTACAGAAGCAGGAAGACTACTATATACATTCCTTACCTGAAGTTTGGTTGCAGAGTCTGCTTCTTAGATGAGACTTAAAACTGTCTGAAGAGGCATTGTATTCCACCATGTTAGTCAATGTAGTGACATTCATCCCACTCTTTCCTTTCTTTTGTTCCAACTGCAAAGCTTTTAAAAAAAACCCAAAACAACAACAGTCCATTAAGAGGCATTAATACTCAGGTACGTATTCAAAATTGAGTTGGTCCTCTGTATCCATGGATTCTTTATACATTGATTCAACCATCCATGGCTTGAAAATCATCCAGAAAAAAAATTCAAAGAGCACATCTCAATTTGCCTTCTTAGAAAAGGAAGAATATTTTACTATGCCTTTGTATATAATAGAGCAGCATTCACAGATTTTGGTGTTTGGGGGTAAGTTTGTCCTGGAACCAAACCACAGTGGATACCAAGAGCTCAGAGTATACGTAGCTGGAAACAAAGGAAACACTAGATAGATGATAGATGGCAAGACATGGTGTTCTTCTCCAGGACAAGATGAGATTCTTGGGGCAAGCTACACCACCCACAATTTCCTGTTCTGCCTGGACATTACATTTTTAGGTATCCTGTCCTCAGGCACATATACTCATTATTTTGTGAGATGTTCTATATCATCACTTTGACCACAAATGCGCATTATATTTTATGCATTACTTTATAAATGCAGCTTTCTTGAATATAGTCCAGGATCCTCCACCCCTCTATTCAAGCCACCCAACAGCCCTGTGAGATAAAGGTTAAGATGAGAAATAACTGGTCAAAGGACACAGTAGCATTACAAATATCTGTGCATGTCAGAAGGTGATTATTTGCCACACCAGGAACACACAGGTATATAACAGCTGATGTGCTTGGAAACAAAAATTTAAAAGCCTGAAGCTGAAATCATCATCATCATCATCATCATCATCATCATCATCATCATCTTTATTTTATAAAAAAATAAAATAAAATTCATCTTTATTTGTACCCTGCCACCATCCTCCCAAAGGGACTCAGGGCAGCTCACAGAAGCACTCCAAGTGCCACATGCAGACAATACATAAGTATAAATACAATGGCGTAAGTGCATAAAAATCTCATTGATAAAATTATAAACATTTGAAAATTATAAAATTCCTAAAAAGCAGTGGAACCTGTGGACCAGCTATCTCTCATAACAATCAATCAAAGTGTGGGCCAATACTATCAATGATTCATCACATCAGTCATGGATTACTCAGGATCAAAGGCCTGTCTGAAGAGCAATGTTTTTAGACTCACATAGAAGTCCTGAAGAGAGGGGGCTAATCTAATTTCTTTAGGGAGGGTATTCCAGAGCCAGAGAGCCACCACCGAGAAGGCCCTCTCTCTCGTCCTCACCAACTGTGCTTGAGGCGGTGGTGGGACCGAAAGAAGGGCCTCCCCAGCAGATCTTAATGCCTGTGCCAGTTCATAGAAGGAGATGCAGTCTCAAAATATTATAGAAATACAGAATGTAAAAAGCACAAATCAGTGGAATATAAACATAGTAAAATACAAAATGCAAGTGAGCTAAAATAGACAGGAAAGGGACATTCTGGTTCAAATAACGATACAATCTTTTACACAGTAATTGAAACAAAAAACAAGAAGAAATGGAGTGGCATTTATAGCGAAGAGAGAGGTAGCAAAAACAAAGCATATATAGCAAAATTTGACTGAATCACCTCAATAAGATTTCATTGAAAACTTATTAATATAAACATAACTCAAAGATAAGCTTCAGCCAAAGGGGCACAAGAAAAAGAAACTGAATGATTCTATATTGAAATTCATGAGGAAAATGGTCACTAGGCTGTGTGATTGATGAAAAAATTAGGGGGCACTGCAGATTCTTTTCTTAAGTGTTTCTAAAATATTGTAAGTGGCAGTTTTGTTACTATAAGAAATTAAATGAATGAATTCTTTGTTACACTTCATTAATTAATTGTGCATGTGGAGGGTGGGTGGAAGGGGGAATCCAACCCCTGATTCTGCCAGGCAGGAAAAGCACAGTCAAACCACCCCAACAGATACCCATCCAGCCTTTGAAAAAACAACAACAATAATAGGAAACCTATTAGGTAAACTTTGGAGGACACCTGTGGTAGACAAGTCCTGTTGACATTTCATCAGTAGTTGCCCACTTAGTTTTTTAATCCTTGGCCTAATAAATGAAACAAGAGACTGATTGATTAAATTTTGCAACAGGAAAGCAGGAATAGGAAAGGATCATTATCTAGTGGTCTTCCATTTCCACAGTCCTTGAGCATAATCCTATACAATCCAGTTCAAATAAGATATAATTAAAATAGAGTTAAAACGGAGTAGATGCAGTTCTAAAAGTTATTTTGTGGGAGTAAGTCCCAGCATAGAATAATGCTTGGGGAAAAATTGACAGAATGTAAAGATGAATTTCACAGTTTCGTGATCTATCAGGGTTTTTGTATTTTCTGGTGTTTTTATTTTATTTTATTTTTATGTTTTGCTATGTGTTTATTACGTTACAGTTAGGTTGTACTGTATTGTCTAATGCACCTTGTCTTGATGTAAATTGTTTGTATGGTTTTCTTTTGACATTGAATGTTTGCCATATTGTTGGAAACTGCCCTCAGTCCGTCGGGGAGATAAATAAGGTTTTATTTATTTATTTATTATCTAGAAAGTTATTATTTTTAAAATGGAAACAAAAATGAAGAATATTATTTATTTATTTATTTATTTAAACATTTATCTCTTGCTCAATGTCCAAAGATTTGAAGGAAGTTCACCAAAATATGTTTATGAAGGTATCAAATAGACATTGAAACTGATTTTATTTTATTGCTTGTTGCACTTTTTAAAATCTGTTCTTCTTGTTTGTATTTTATTTTATTTAAAAATAAAAATGATACAGTAATTCAAAAACATGTCTACAGAAAAATCAACAAATGAATTGTTTTTAAAAATATTATTTTCAAAGTACCCATAACACTGCAAATCGTCATAATCCTTCCCTGATACTCACCTAAGACAATCAGAGCTGCCAGAAGGATAGCATTCCCAATCCATGAAATCCATAGAGCGATCTTTTGCCAGCGAGGATGCCGAGAAGAAGCACCTGTGAAGAGTGACTGTTCATTTCTGAAGTCAAAGTCTCTTATTATATACATGGCAAATTGCTGGTTGTAATTATATAAATGTATTACTTTCTCTTTCTTCAGGGTGTAAAATTATCTACATCTATCCATTTACCATTCTACCAATTAATCACCCAAAATTTGCTCCTCATAATGGGTGTCAGCAATTTCCATTTGCCTTTTCGAATCCCAGTATTTGGTTAATTTCTAGGACTTGGCAATTGTGGCTTCTGTTCTTTAATGTTCCTATATGAATAATTGAAAAGGATTATTTTATTTATTTATTTACTATATTTATATACCATCCCTCTCAGCCCGAAGGCCACATGAGGCCGTTTACAGTTGGTATCAAGACCATACAATACAATTTCAATACAGTAAAAACAATTGGATAATAAAACCATAGCAAACCAATAAAAACATATATCATTAGGCTCTCCTTGTTAAAAACATTGTCCAATCACATTGTCCAAACATTTCATTTTCCTATGGCTGTTTCTTCCCTTCAGAACAAACCAAACTGAACCAAACATACTACCAGAAGACATAATTTCATGTAGCTAAAACTTTGTCTAGATTTCTGTTCTCCTTGAAAAATCACAAGTATTAGGTTTTTCTTAATTTCTTATAATTGAGTAAGGTTATGCAACCCACACTGTAAATTATGACCCATGCTGTAAACTGAAGAGCGGTCCATCAGCATGAGCTTTATTCATGGCAATACAGTAGGGCATAAATTGAGGTAATTCTTTCAAATGTTGAACCAAGAAAATCAAAGAACTATTTATTTTATTGTTTAATTACTACATTTAAATCCCACCTTTCTCAACCCTGAAGGCGACTCAGAGCGGCCTTACAATCGACAGCAATTTGATGCCATCAACAGACAACTATACTACTATACTACTTATTTCATGATCAGACAAAACGTGCAAGCACAATACCCCTCCATCCGTAATTCACATGCATGTTTCTCTCGATTCCTCCAAAATAACATGCAGCAGTGAGGTTATACAGCTTCTATGTTATTCCATTTCTGTGTAGAAAATACACTTTTTTCTTGAGCAATAGCATAGTTCTTGATATATTTATGCAGAGAGAGCTCTCAGAACTCCAACACAGAATGACGGGATTCTGTTGTTCTCGAAAAAGCAACTAATGTTTAGATCTGTGAAACAACAACCAACTTGCAAATATTCACTTACAGAGCCATGGAGACGAATGCTGTGCCCTTTGGGCGAGTGGTTCAGTGGAGACTGTGAGATCAGCATAAACAGTTTCTCCAGCCATGCTAGATGCAAGCAGTAGATGAACAGAATAGACTTTCAGTAGTGAGCGGAAATTACTAAATGTCAAGGAGCCCTACCTATACTGATAGGTAGGTGACATGATCAGGAAGTTCTCACCACATCTAGTTACAGAAATCCCTCAGCTCTGTGCGGGGCTGCAATAAAGTCACATTTACCCCCTTTCAAGAATAACAGATTGTGTCTATCCAGAATTGTGGAGATAATACAGAATGATATTTATCTATCAAGGATTTTTGGTGCAGGATGGGAGGTATTGGGCTACAAAACTATAGGAGTGGTAGCCTGGAGTTAATGATACTTACTTCTCAGGATATATGTCTAGAATAGCATTACTGGTATAGCTTTTGTTCTGTACTTCCTGTTCAAATATGTAGCAGAGGTGGTCTATAATCCCAAAATTTTTTATATCCCTTTAAAATTTGTCATCCACCCCCCACCCCGTTCCAGTATCCAAGTAGTGGTTGATATTCTACATCATCTATTTAGTTAGGTACACTTAACTAAGTAAGATTTCTTGGCATAGGGAGACCAGAATGATCCCCTCCTTGATTGGATCTACATTGCTATATATTCAAGTTTCAGAATGCAGATTAACTGCATTGAACTGGATTATATGGCAGTGCAGATCTAGCCCCTGTTGTTCTTCCAGAAGTCTTTTAAAGACTAACGTTATTAAGATCGAGTTGGGGGTATTGTGTGGTTTTCTATTTTTAAACAGGGTTTTAATAGTTTTAGCCATTTAACTGTTTGATTCTAAACAGTGCTTAGTGCAATTCCATTTTAATGTTTATCACTTTGAGGTAATAATAACCACCACTATTCACTATTTGTTGAATGTATGACAGTAAGATAACTGATGCATATGACTGCCGAAAGCAGGCAAATATTTTCTCTTTTGGATAGATTTTAGCTCTGGAATCAATCAGCTCAGATAATAATGCACTCTATTTATATTCTGCTTTATCTTCCTGGAGGAACTCGGGGCAGATTACAATATACACCTATGGGGCAAACATTCAGCGCCTTTTACACACAGTGAACGACATACAACATAGACAAAGGTAAAGGCTTTCTCCTTTTTTCCTTCTCTGGCATCTGGAGGCGATGCTTAACTCTGGCCATGGAGAGGCGCACTCCTTCCATTTTTCCATACTGAGGAGCCTTTTGTCCATAGACATCTCCGATTGTGTTGCCAGCATGTCTGCATATTTTCATGGGGTGCACTTTTACCTTCCTGCCAATGTGGTACCTATTGATCTGTTCTTATTGCATGCTTTCGAACTGCTAGGGTGGCAGAAGCTAGGGCTGACAGTTGGGAGCTCACCCCGACTCACAGCTTTGAACTGCCAACCTTCCAGCCAGCAGATTTCCTACAGGTAGCAGTTTAACCTTCTGCATTTGCACTAGAGTAGCAAATGCAGTCAGCCCTCCATATCAATGAACTCCAAGATCTTTTTCGCATGTACTGCTATAGAGCCAGGTGTCCCCCATTCTGTATCTTTGCATTTCCTTTTTTCTGCCCAAGTGGAGTATCTTGCATTTGTACCTGTTGAACTTCATTTTGTTGTTTTGACCCATCTCTCTAATCTGTTAAGATCATTTTGAATTCTGCTCCTGTCTTCTGGAGTATTAGCTACCTCTCCCAATTTGGTGTCATTTGCAAACTTGATGATCATGCCTTTTAACCCTTCATCAAAGCCAGTGGTTCTCAACCTGGGGTCCCCAGATGTTTTTGGCCTACAACTCCCAGAAATCCCAGCCAGTTTACCAGCTGTTAGGATTTCTGGGAGTTGAAGACCAAAACATCTGGGGACCAATAGGTTGAGAACCACTTCATCTAAGTCATTAATAAAGATGTTGGAACAGGACCGGGTCCAGGACGGAACCCTGCTGATGGCACTCCGCTCGTCACTTCTTTCCAGGATGAAGAGGAAGCATTGGTGAGAATCACCCTCTGGGTTTGTCCATTTAACCAATTACAGATCCACCTCACTGTAGTTTTGCCTAGCCCACATTGGACTAGTTTCCTTGCCAGAAGGTCATGGGGGACCTTGTCGAAGGCCTTACTGAAATCCAGGTACGCTACATCCACGGCATTCCCCGCATCTACCCAGCTTGTAACTCTATCGAAAAAAGAGATCAGAAAGAGATTGATATAATATATATATATATATATATATATATATATATATATATGTCTCAAGATCCTGTGATACGGGACAGGCTATAAACCAGCAGACTGATTAATTGGCTGAAACTCAAACAGCAGAGCAAATTTTGAACTAATAAAATAATTTTGATAGTGCAGGAAAGATTCCCTATATACCTTTCCCACCCCCCTGCCCCATAATTGGGTTGGACTGGACCTTCTTTCCTGATTTTTAAAGGGAATATTTTGATAATTTGTCCAAAAGAGTTTTTAAAAACCCTATTAAATATTAATCGAAGAGGCATATTCTTTTTAAAGAACTACATCCAAAATGGAAAGAATTATGGTTAACACCTTGACCATAAAACATGCAGAGTTAGATTGTAATGGAACAAGTGAGTCATAAAAATCTGCTTGGGCTTCTTGAAAACAGACCACAATGTTAAGAAGCTGTAAGAAAATACTGATACAGCCAGACTCCTTAGTTATCCAGAAATGACCTCTCTGCTTAATTGTATTCTTTTTAGAAAAGGATGTGGGTGCATAGTGCGAGGGAGCTTACTATATTTCATGTGTAACCTTCATATCTGCTAGCGTTTGGTTCCTGAACCCCTTGTGGGCCTTATATAAAATGGCAAATGACTTAATTGCATGCTGAAGAAAGCCCGAGGATCTGGAAAATGGAGGAAGGCTACAGCAAGATGTGTCTATACATTTGTGCTTGGTGTACTAATAAAAGAAAAGGAAAAAAATCAAGGTTTGTTTTTTGGAATTCTTCCCTGGATATATTCAAGCCATAATTGGTTGAATCCATGGATGTACAACTTATGGATACAGAGGGCTGATTGTCGTAAGTAGCTACCATTACACAAATGGGTTGCATTGCAATATAAAGGTAAAGGTAAAAGTTTCCCCTGGCGTTAAGTCCAGTCATGTCTGACTCTGGGGTTTCTGCTCATCTCCATTTCTAAGCTAAAGAGCTGGTGTTGTCCGTAGACACCTCGAAGGTAATGTGGCCAGCATGACTACATGGAGCGCCATTACCTTTACGGAGAAGCAGTACCTATTGATCTACTCACATCTGCGTGTTTTTGAACTGCTATGTTGGAAGAATCTGGGCCTAACAGCGAGAGCTCACTTCGCTCCCTAGATTTGAACCACCAATCTTTTGGTCAGCAAGTTCAGCAGCTCAGTGGTTTAACCCACTGCGCCCCCAGGGAGCCTATATAACTATAGTTCAATGGAGTTAACCTGGATTCTGAAACTGCTTTATATGGCAGTGTAGATCTAACCAACATGTCACAATTACAAAAGAATATAGGGGACAGAACAAATTTCTGCATCTATATGTCCCCTATATTCTTTTGTAATTGTGACATGCTGGTTAGATCCACACTGCCATATAAAGCAATTTCAGAATCCAGGTTAACTCCATTGAACTGGATTATATGAGTCCACACTGAACTGGATTATATGAGTCCACACGGGAGTGTAGATGGGGCCACTACCTCCTACTGATTCTTTCTGTTAAATTTCCAATCTATGATCTTGCATGCTAATAGTGACTTTGAACATATGTTTGCTGTACTTTCAGTGATACTACTTGAATGTTTAAGTTGTCCTTAAAATGTCCCACAAATGATCAACAACATGACAGAATGCCATAAACACGTAGATGTACTTGCAGAAAATGTATTCTCCCCCACACCCAAGTTCTTATAGGACCATGTTATTTGACAGATTTATGGGCAGCAAATAAAATCTGGAAGGATGGGTTCTACCTCTCTAGGGATTTCTTAACAAAGAATTCTAAGTGCATCACTAAACAACAAATCTAAGGATTCTATAAAATGACATCATGGCTGTTAATGTGGTATCAAACTGACAGTACTGCTAGTTGCAGGTACTATGCTGAACATTTTATGGAAGAGGTGGGTCTTACAAAGACATGGGGAGAAAGTATGAGGGGTTGTTTTGGGAGAGAGGCAGCTCTGGACAACCGAAAAGACACAGTTTCTAGACAAATACAACATTGTTTATTTTTGTGAAAACACACATAGCAGAATTCTATAAAATGCTGTGGTTGGAATAATGTAACCCTCTATATATTGTTGGGCTTCGAAATCCATTTGACTTCTCACTTGCGACCTCATCACACAGGCAAAATTGCCCATCCTATGGTACTTTCACCTCAGTTCTGGGACGGAGCGTGCCAGATCTCATCAGATGACGTAGATCTACTTCTGACTGGGCTCTGTCCCTGAACTGAAGTGAAAGTGTTGTAAGAGGGAGCAAGTAGAACATGGAAAGCTTCCATATTCTCATTGAGAAGAATGAGGAGAAGCCAGGCAGTGACACTTCTCACCACGGAATAGATAAGGGGTGATATGGTTGATGCGAGGTGTGGGGTGATAGGTTCCTCACACTGCTCTCTAGATTCGTAACGATGCAAAACCCTCCTGCTATTGCCTGCAATTTTGACCTCAATATTATGAGATCCTTTCCTCCCTCCCCCTTCTTTCTTGCTGGTCTTTTCCTATTTTGGAGTCTTTGTAGAGCAGTGTTTCTCAACCTGGGGTTTGGGACCTCTGGGGGAATTGCAAGGGGAGTGTCAGAGGGGTTGCCAAAGACCTTCAGAAAACATAGTATTTTCTGTTGGCCATGGGGTTCTGTGTGGGAAGTCTGGCCCAATTCTATCGTTGGTAGGATTCAGAATGTTCTTTGATTGTAGGTGAACTATAAATCCCAGCAACTACAACTCTCAAATATCAAGATCTGTTTTCCCCAAACTCCAATGTTCGCATTTGGACATATTGAGGATTCATGTCAAGTTTGGTCCAGATCCATCATTTTGTCTGAGTCCACAGTGCTCTCTGGATGTAGGTGAACTACAACTTCCAAACTCAAGATCAATACCCACCAA